AGCGCCCGTGGGAACCTTCCGTCACCTCTAGGTCAGACCTGGGTCACTGCATGTGTCTTCTCGGCTGTTTTTCTTTCTGGGTTGAAAATCAACTCCTGGAGTCTAGGAGAGTCGTGGCCAGCACTGTCCATGTGTGTGGTGTCTTGCCGTAGCTGGTCCCACGGTGGTTCCTGCGTGAGAAGGCGCTGTCACCTGGTGGCCCTGATTGCTAAGCAGAGGAAACACACATAGGTGCGTAAAGTGTCATGGGAACGAGATGAAAAGTGAATCAGTGACCATAAAAAGTGCATCGGGGTGAGGGGACGTCAAGTGGCGCAGCCGTGGTGGAAAACAGCGCATTTCCTCAGACCCGAGCTTCTGAGAGGCGCTGGGAGTGTGGCTTGGTGGAGGACCACAGGCTCACCATGTGCAAGGCTCCGCTTCCATTCCTGGTATCGAATAAACAACAACAAGAATTAGTTTACGACCCGGCAATTCCACTCACGGGCATTACCCAGAAGAAACCAAAGACGGGACTCGGGGAGACACTCGTGCACCCGGGTTTACAGTACCCACAGGGTGGAAGCCACCTGTTCTAGACCAAATGTTTGGGCCCCCCTCAAAATTCATATGTTGAAAGGTGTTTGGGAGGTAACTAGGTCCCAGAGGTGGAACTTCACTCATTGCCCTTGAAAAGGGACCCTCCCCAGAGCGCTCACACCCTTGGTCTGTCACTTCAGAACACAGTGAGAAGATGGTCATCTGTAATCTATAAGAGGCCTCGCCAGAATCCAACCATGCTTGACCCTGGTCTTGGACCTCCTGCCTCCAGAACTAAATAACTGCTGTTTATAAGTCCTACGGTACTTTATTACAGCAGCCTGAAGCGTCTGAGATACCCTTAAGTGTTCATTAGTGAATAAATGAATTAACAAATATGGTATAGACAGTGGAATATTAGTCAGCCTTAAAAAGAATCTCATTCTGATGCAGGTTACAGCACAGATGAACCTGGAAGGCATTATAGAGTGAAATAAGCCGGTTATAGAAGGACACACATTCTGACTCCACTTACTCGAGGTCCCTAGAGGAGTCCCTCATGAAGACGGAAAGTGGAATGGTGGTTGCCAGAGACTGGGGCAGGAGGGAAGGGGAAATTAGTGTTTGTCAGACACAGTTTCAGTTCAGGATGATGAAAAACTCTAGAGATGGGTAATAATGATATTTGCACCACAAGGTGTGCTTATGTTCCTAAGCTGAGTACTTCACAATGGTAGAATAATTTTATTTTGTGAGTGTTTAACCACAGTAACTAATGAAAACAACAGAAAGAATGGGGAGTGCA